AGCCAATAACAGAGAGGGAGGACTGATGACCAAAGGTATTACGACTAGGCTGGTTTAACCCCCTGAAACAGCTGACCTGACAAGGGATAGCTCTTGAATCCCAGACTGATGTCTGGGAATCCAGCATGGGACTGATCAAGACCCCCTGAATGTGGGTATCAGTGAGGAGGCCTAGGTAATCTATTGAGACTTGAGTGGTTAATCAGTATTTATCCCAGGTATACAAATGGACTTTGGACTCCCATACAACAATTTGAGATGCACTCTCACCCTGAACATTTGTGGGAAGGTCTAGGCCCTGCCCTGGATGAAATGACAGACTATGGACACCCCCATGGAGGGCTGCACACTCACTGGGGAAATGATGGGATATTGGGGGGGCTTTGGTAGAGGTCACGGGAGGAGGGTAGGGAAATGGAGGAACCTGGAACTGACTTGTGAAGCAACCTTGTTTGTAATTTAAATTTAAATTTAAAAATAAATAATAAAAAGAAAAAGGAAAAATAATATGACCACATAAGTAAATAATCTAATATCTCAATCATACTGAAATTAGGATTAACATACTATAATATTGATGTATTAATGTAAGTTGTAGGATAACTATATCATCTCATTATACTAAGGGATGTTAATGTTGGTAATACTCCTGGTGTGCATTAGAGTTCATCTATGTCTCTAACTAAAGATTAACTTTCAAATCACATCCAGTAATATGTGTCAGTTAACCAATATTTTATGAGGCAAAATATCAGATTTCTTATCTCATAGTAGAGTTCATCATATCATCTAAACTCATTTTCTTAATGTTAGCATAATGCCAATCTAGTATCTTCATAAAGCAATTCAGCCTAATTTCCTTTCTGTCAGTTGAAGGTTCAGAGCTACAGCACAAGGAAATTATATTACATATATACTAGATCTCTGACATTTTCCTCATGGGATCTATACTGATAATTTCATGAATCTTTAACCCTCCCCCCCAATACTGGTAGAGAATGCAGTTCCTCTCATAAAATTCAGTAAAACATGGAGCTCTTAAGAGATCCCTTTAGATTCTTAATGAGCCTATAAACGCTTTACTGAAATAATTTATAAGGCTAAGTAACTCATTCAACACAACACTGTGGGCAATTTAAATAGGTGCTTCAGCAAAATTCCAAGCCTCCTAAGTCACATACCTGAACACATTATTCCACTTAGCACTAACTGCTTGCCTGCAATCGCACAGCTACCCTCATCTTCTAAACCTGATAACTTCTTACTGATTTTATTATATTCTTAACTTCTGTTGAGAATTCCCTGTGGAATTTATCCATTTATCTTTTGTTTGCTTTTAGATGTAAGCACTTTATATACTAATTTCCTTTTTGCATCAGCTGTAGTAATTATTTTAAGAATGTTACATGCTCATTGTGCCTGTCAAATTAAAAGTCCATGTCATAGTATCTAACAATATTATGCTACCATAAACCAAAGAGTCATGATGAATAGGGCAAGAAAGGGAGGACTTGGGGTTTTAATCAAGATGCACACATTTTCCCAGAGCATTACAACTAAGCAAACTGAATAGTCCTATTATGCTTAGCTGTAGAGAGAGTAATCATAAGGGATGACCAGGGGAATTTAAAGGAGTAAATTAAATCAACATTAACTGCAGGAGACTGCTCCACATATATGAGTTCTCACATTTCTATCTAATCACATGCTTATATTTTGCTCTTATGTGATAGATGTGACTTTAAAAGTAGCATGATGATTGATGCATACTCTTTTTCTATAGCTTTCCTATATCAAATGGTACATAGTTTTATATTTTTCTTCTTATAGTTAACATTGGAGACTTATACTTTTACCCACATATGTTTTAATTGCCAGCAAGTCTTTACAAATAGGACTTATATCATTCTCTACTGCTTTGCCATTTCATTGAGCCCTGTATTATTGGAAGTATGATTTTGAGGGGGTTCTGTTTATATGTTTTTCTTATTGGTTGATGAATAAAACACTGATTGGTAGGACTAGGAGACAAGGAGGATTCTGGGAAGTACAGTCAGAGAGGAGTCATTATGTAATCCCAGTAAGTAACATAGTTGTGCAGAAAATGCCACTAACTAACATAGAGGTCTGGAGGTCTGTCCAGAAAGGCAGGAAGTGAAGTAATATAAGAAGAGACAAACAGGAATTCACACTTGTCTCTTCTCTGCAGAGATGTTGCAGGCAAAGGAGTTGCAGGTCCAGCATTCCCAGTAAGCCAAGACCACATGGAAATACATGGAGTAGTAGTTATGGGTTAATAATTAAGTCAAAGCTAGCGAATAAGAAGCCATAGTCACCTGCCAAGAGTTTCATAATTAATATAGTATCTGTGTGCTTCTTTGGGACAGGTCATGGAACCTGCCTGTTCAGAAACATTCATGCAACAGGTATATATCTTTACTACTTGGTTGTGGATGCAATTTTAACTTTTCCTGATTCAGATTAGTGGAGTTATTGATCAGAACAGGTATTTGATTATATATGTACTGAGGTTATATGATAAGAACTTTCAGAGATACACTCATGATTTATATGCCTATACTATAATAATTAATACAGCATGATCAGACATCTATAGGCTGATTCATGTCTCAACATGCAGAAACAAAATAATTCATGCATGTTTATTTAGCCATGCTTAGATATTTATGAATTTGTAATATTCATCTCAATAGCAAAATCTAAAGTATCAAAACTCAAGGTAAGCTTTCGAAAACACAGTACTTTCAATATCTATTATATTTCCTTTGCCCTAGAATTTTACAGATTTCATAATATTTATAAAAGATAATATTTCTAATTTATGTTTGTGTTGTTATTCATAGACTATCAAAGTTATTTTATGCAGAATTTTAGATAAAAATAACCACTATATCATTATGATATAAGTGATTACATGAATTAATGATGTGTGTAAGATAGATGGTGCTAGATTTCTTTAGTAGCTGAAAAAATTTTGATCATTATGGTTTTGGCCATGAATCAAGATTTAACATACTCATAAATTTATCAGATCAGATCCTTTGTTACTTTCATTAAGTTTTGACCATTGATTTTCTATTTCCCCTTCAAATATTTCTAATATCACAGGCAGACCTTGTCCTAAAATATGTGAGTTGCTTGTACCAATCTCCCTTTTCCTTTAACATTATGGAAAAGTAGTAACCAGGTATAGAATTACAAGTCTGTAACCCCAGGAATGAAAAGGCAGAGGCCTTCATGAGCTACATTGTGAGTTCCTGGTCACTCTGAACTACATAAGATGCTGCCTTCCAATAGAACCAAGAAAAACAATAAGAATTACTTCAAAGATAAAAGCATAATTTACCAACATAAGAAGTGGTAGCTATACCAATTTAGACAGTGTTATTGAGAGAATCATAACGTATTATATGTGAGTTTTCAGTTGCTGTGATACAGAATCATGACTAAAGCAAATTATGCAATGGTATATTTTGAGTTGTGACTCCCAGATGAATGTCCTTATAGTTCCAGGTAGGCATGGCAACAGGCTGTCACAACAGGAAGGTAAGAGATCACACTGAAAACACAAAGCAGACAGCAAACTGGAAGTAAGGAAAGGCTATAGAAACAAAACCCAACACAAATGACTTCCTGTAAAGTCCTTTGTCCTCTAAAGACTTAATAACCACCACAAACAGTGCCATTAACCAGGCATTCAGTGTTCAATACCTGTTGGTTTTTATTCAAAACATACCTCATGCCATCTCTGTTTCTTATACTGTTTTGGGTAGAGTACATGATTTTCCTTGTACAGAATCATGACAAACTGTGAAGGCAATTCACAATCTTTGGGTTTTCAAAGCAGAAAAATACAATGAGGACAAACTTGTCGTGTTCTGAGATGCATTTTTTAAAGTGAATCTTCAGTATTTTCTAAGAATACTTCAGAAAAAGCCAAATGATTTTAAAAGAAAATTTCTTTATTTTTCATCATGAGATTTTTAACTACATGTGGTGGATTCACTGTTAATATTGTAATCTACTCCTGGGATACTTATGTTAGTAAATCATTTCTTAAACACAGACCAATGCTGAAGACAAAATTCCTATAGAGCCTCTTATTTTTGTACTGCCTAGTCTGTGATGTCGACTCTCAATTTTTTTTGTGCTGATATGAAACAAAATTGGTCCGTTCTTGTCCAATACATTGGATAAATTTTATTTTGATTGAATGTGACCACGTAAGTTACATTCTAGGAATTTCCTTGTACAAAAAAAAACTAGAGCCAGCAATATATTTAAGTCAAAACCCAACATTGGAGTTCCCAAATAGATGGGATCAACTACTCATCTCAAGATGCCATATGTCAGTCATGTCAGAGAAATATATATTCAATGTGGCATTTGTTTACTAGTTCCAATTTTCTTTTGTGAGAGTTGAAAGGGACTTTGATTTTATATAAAAGTGAAATGAAAATGGGTTCTGAGATTTGCATAATTCACAGAGCACGTCATTTTATTCAGGCCTATATCTGATCACTGTGTCAGTTTTGTGGTGTGGTAGATACATGTAATTATTCTCATCCCTGGAGGGGAGCAACCATCATGGGGAATGTTCTGTGCATATATTTCTTTCTGGTTAATGAATAAAAAACTGATTGGCCAGGCAGGATTATAGGTAGGACTAGGAGACAAGAGGGATTCTGGAAAGTATAGGCAAAGAAGAGTAATCATGTAATCTCAGGAAGTGACATGGCTGGTCAGAAACTGCCAACAGATAACCATAGAGGATTGCATGTCTGTAAAGTCAGGCAGGAAGTTGAATAGTTGGGCAGAATTAGAATATAATCAAGAGCAAATAGGAAATTGTTCTATTCTTTTCTCTGTGGAGATGCTGAGAAGTTATGATACAACAGGTAAAGGAGTTGCTGGACCAGTAAACCAAGACCATGTAAAAATGCTTAGATTAGTAGTTATGGAGTAAGAATAAGAAGCCCATGCTCACTTCAGCAGCACAAACACTAAAATTCGAATAATACAGAGAAGATAAGCATGGCCCCATGCACATGGATGATGCAAATTTGTGAAGCATCTCAAATTTTTAGAAAAGATGGTAAGACAACAATATAAAAACACATTCAACGACAGAAAACCAATATGACACAACCAGAGTCTAGGGACTCTAACCAACAAGACCTGAGCATCCCAATGCAGATGAAGCAGAAGAAAAGGACCTTAAAAACGACTTCATGAAAATAGTAGAGGAACTCAAAGAGGATATAAGAAAATCCCTTAAATAAATGGAAGAAAAAACAAACTAAAAAATGTAATAAATCAACAACTCTCTTAAGGAAATCCAAGTAAAACATTCAACCATACAAAACAAACCAAAAAATGTAATAAATCAACAAGTCTCTTAAGGAAATCCAAGTAAAACATTCAAACATATAAAGGAAACAATTCAAACAGTTCAAGTCCTGAAAACTGAAATAAATACAATAAAGAAAACACAAACTGAGGGAATGCTAAAAATAGAAAATCTGGGTAAATGATCAGGAACTATAGATGTAAGTATAACCAATAGAATAAAAGAGATTGAAGAGAGAATCTCAGCTGTGGAAGTCTCATTAGAGGATATATATTCATCAACCAAAGAAAACCTCAAGTCCAACAAATCCCTTACACAAAATTTGGGACACCATGAAAATGCCAAACCTAAGAAACACAGGTATAGAAGAAAGCGAAAAAATGTTGCTCAGTGGTAAAGAAAACATATTCCACAAAATCATCAAAGAAAATTTCCCAAAACTAAAGAAAGATATGCCTATGAAAGTTCAAGAAGCTTGCAGCACACCAAAAAACTTGAACACAAAAGGAAGTCTACTTGCTACATAATAACCCAAACACCAAACTTACAGAATAAAGAAAAAATTTTAAAAGCAGCAAAGGAAAAAAAGCCAAGAAACATATAAAGGCAGACCTATCAGAATTACACCTGACTTCTCAATGGAAACTTTGAAAGCCAGAATATATTGGATAGATGTCCTACAAGCTAAGGGATCATGATGCCAGCCCAAACTACTATACCCAGCAAAGCTTTCAATCACTATAGATGGGGAAAACAAGATATTCCATGACAAAACCAGATTTAAGCATTACATATCCGCAAATCCAGTCCTACAGAAAGTACTGGAAAGAAAACTCCAACCCAAGGAAGATAACTACATTCACAAAAACATGGGCAATAGATAATCCCACAATCCCAAACACCAAAAGAAAAAAGGGGGAAAATCCAGAAAAAATACTACCACCACTACCAAACCCAAAACAAACAAGAATTAACAATCAATGTTCATTAATATCCCTCAACATCAATGGTCTCAACTTACCTATAAAAAGACTAACAGAATGGATGCAAAGACAGAATTCATCCTTCGGCTGCATACAAGAAACACATCTCAACTTCAAAGACAGATGTTACTTCAGAGTAAAGGGTTGGGAAAAGATTTCCTAATCAAATGGAACAAAGCAAAAAGCTGCTGTAACAATCCTAATAACTAGAATATTAGATTTCAAACTAAAATTCATCAAAAAAGATAAATAAGGTCATTTTATATACACCACAGGAAAAATTCATCCAGATGAAGTCTCAATTCTGAACCAAATGCTAAGGCACCCACATTCATAAAAGAAACATCACTAAAGCTCAAATCACACATAAAACCTCACACACTTATAGTGGCAGACTTCAACATCCCGCTCTTACCACTGGACAGGATCACTAGACAGAAATTCAACAAAGAAACAAAGGAACTAACTGTTATGAGAAGCTTTTTCTTTGCTAGCCGCTTTGGTTTATCCCCCGCCAGCCGCCTAGGCTCTGCCTCATTGCAGTCCCCAAATAAACACACAAGATGCTGTATTATTTATGAAGCTGTTGGCCTTGCTTGTTTCTTCCTGGATAGCTCTGACTTAAGTAATTACCCCATAATTGTTAATCTAAGTATGTCTCTTACCGGAGAGGTTTACAGGCTTCCTACCCCAATGGCGTTACATCTCGAACTCTCTTGTGTTTCTCCTTCCCAGAATCCTCCTGGACTCCTAGCCCCACCTATCTAGATTCCTATAGGCTCAACTGTACTTTATTGACAAATAACAGGCAAATAACAGGACTTTCCCAACATCTCCTCTTTTCTGTTTAAACAAAAAGAAAGGTCTTAACTTTAACACAGTCAAATTGTATATAACAGAACAGTTATCAAGTAAGAACATAGTTACAATATTTTAGCAAGATTTAAAGAAAATATCATCTATCTCATTCTTGTGAGTTCAAAGTCCTATATGTAGCTTATCTTTTATCATAACTAAGGAAAACTATAATTATAACTATCTGTCTTCAACTCCATCAAAGACCACAGAAGGATAATATATAAACACTAGGATTGATAGAGACATCTTACTGCCTGGACAGTCACCCGAAGTTCCACTGTAACGTTGGGGCATCCATCTTCAGCCCATAGGCCATAAAGTGTCTGGAACACTTCTCAGCAAAGCCGGAAATTTCAGAACTGTCCATCTGCATCAGCAGTCTGTCAGTCATTTTTCTGTGTCCTGCAGAAAGTCTCTTAGACTCTTCCATGAAGCAGGAACCCTGTAAGACTGAGTTCAACAGTCACTTTCCTGTGGGTCCTGCATGTCCAGATTATACAACAACAGTCAAACAGTCTAGGCAAGAGCAGTTTCTTGCCCAAATGGCTAATCTTGCCATGTTGAAAGCAAACTCCATAACAAGTGTCTTCGATGCCCATCTTCCTCTCAGACATAATTGGTGCTGCCAGGAGTAGACATTTCTCATTGTAAAGAAAAACCCTAATGCCATTTTCTGAAGGTCTTTGAAAGGTTTGAAGACTGTTTATCTGTCTGAAATACATTTCTATCTATCTAGAAAACCTAACTTACCTAACTATAAGTTCTGACTATTATAAGTAACTATCTATAGTCTGTATTCAATTATGCATTACATTTTAAAAGATCAGTATAAGCACAATACTTAATCAAGAGGAGAAATATACATATCACAAAATTGACCTTGAATTTGTATCAATAAATGAAAAACAATACCTATACCATAATTCCCCTTTTTACCATTAAAAGGAGATTGGTTGTGATCATTAACCAATTATAAACAATCCCATTTAAATGAAAACAAAGCTTTATAAACAAGATGGGAATTGGGACGTCGCTCATTCCAAACTGCTTCCTGCTGGAAGGGGGCGCTGTTTTTACCATGAGGATCATGACAAAACTCAGAAACCTGTATAAGTCCATATTTTCGGGGTCTGTAAAGCTGCATCATCTTAACTGTCTCAATTTTTGGAACACCTTGTCCATTGCTTCTGGGGGTCTTGGTTCGTCGAACCACAGAAGCCTGGAAGGAATCCTCAGCTTTTCATTTTCTGTAGAAACATAAGCAAAAACTCCTTTTCCGAGTAACATATCCTTATACTTAAATTTTGAAGTCAAGGCATTTTCAAAAGATAGAAGTTGGATTAATTCAGCAGCATTTATAATCAATTGTACTTTAGTAGCTGTTCTTTCCTTAGCAATCAAAAAACTGAAAAACATAATAGTGTACAGTATCCAGACTCTCTGTGTATTTTCCATCTTTACGTGGCTTATTTATTAATCTATTATTATTATTACTCAATTTCTTTCACTTTTATTTATTTTTCTCTGAGACAGGGTTTCTCTTTGGAAATCCACCTGCCTCTGGAGTAAATCCTACCAGCGTGCGCCACCACAACGCCGGCTTTTGTATTTATATACCACTTTGTTGTTTCATTTTCTCTCTCAATCTCACGTATATTTTTAAACACACTGTAAACCTTTAGAGGTTTTTCTTCATTTAAGTCTGACTTTACTGTAAATCTTTATGTTTTTCTGGCCACGTGTCTTATCTGTAAAACCGCGGCAGTTTTAAACTGACATTTTCAAGATGGCGGGCGTAAGCGTGACTGCAGCTTACTGCCTCAGTCCATGCTGACCTCCAGCAAAAGCTGCCACTTCCAGCTGTACATACACACCTTTTAATCATTAGCAGAGTCTCTTAAAACAACCTTGCTGGTTTTTTGTTTTTTTTTTATGCCGAGTCAGGAAGACGCCAGTAAGCGAGCCGCATGAATCTCGGCTTGTGGCTAGCAAAACAGAGCACACCTGAGAAAAATACTGCTACCAAAAATCTGTGCTTCTCTCTGTTCTTCTGTTTCTAAAATTCCTTTAAAGCTTTTGTTATTTTGTGTGGGAATTCAGGATCCCACTCCTGGTCACCATTCTGTTAAGAGAAGCTTTTTCTTTGCTAGCCGCTTTGGTTTATCCCCCACCAGCCGCCTAGGCTCTGCCTCATTGCAGTCCCCAAATAAACACACAAGACGCTGTATTATTTATGAAGCTGTTGGCCTTGCTTGTTTCTTCCTGGCTAGCTCTGACTTAAGTAATTACCCCATAATTGTTAATCTAAGTATGTCTCTTACCGGAGAGGTTTACAGGCTTCCTACCCCAATGGCGTTACATCTCGAACTCTCTTGTGTTTCTCCTTCCCAGAATCCTCCTGGACTCCTAGCCCCACCTATCTAGATTCCTATAGGCTCAACAGTACTTTATTGACAAATAACAGGCAAATAACAGGACTTCCCCAACAACTAACAGAAGTTATGACACAATTGGGATTAACACACATCTATACAACATTCCATTCAAACACAAAATAATATATCTCCTTCTCAGCACCACATGGAACTTTCTCTAAAGTTGGCCATGTACTTGGCAACATAGCAAACCCCAACAGATATAAATATTGAAATAACCCCGTGTATCCTATTGGATCACCATGGTTTAAAGTTAGAATTCAACAACACAAATTGCAGAAACCCTACAAACTCATGGAATTTGAACAGTGCAAATTCATACCATTCCTGTGTCAAGGAAGAAATAAAAAAATTAAGATTTCCTAGAATTCAGTAACAACAAAGACAAAATATACCCAAACCTTTGGGACAATTTGAAAGCATTGAAAGAGGAAAGTACATAGCACTAAATTCACACAT